GTTTAATTTATATTTTGTTACTTTAAATTTTTTATGTTTTTCCATTTCTCTTCTAACTTTCAAGAGAAAATTATGAGATCACAGAAGGCTGCCACTTCAGATATCAGGAAATCTCAGCAGCTGAAAGAAAGAGCTTTGCTGTGGGATGCATTCAGTTTCACTTTCAGACACAGAAGTCTGAAACAGCATGGGATATCTTTGGACTTCTTAGTGCTGCTCATTAAAACTCAATATAAACTTTATCCCATTTTGAGATTCTTCTGTATTAGGGCTGAGCTATTAGGCAGCTATAAAATCTGCCATATAAAATTCAGAGTAATATAAACTACTAGCATATAAAAACTTGCATTAATGTAACCAAGGTTACAACTGATAATGCTTAAAAATGAGGAAATAGCAAATTTATAGCAAACTCAGACATTAATTCTCTTCAATTTGCTCATTATATGGATTACAGCCCAGGATTTTTCTGCCTGTTATTTTATTCCATCTTTATTCCCAATGATTGCTATAAATTAAGAGCATTACAGCAAATTATCTGTAATCATAAGACTACCTATTTTTCCCTCAAATAAAATAGTATGATCCCATAAACACAGCTGGGCACACAGACATGTGCTTGATTTCTCTTTTATAGAAAACTCTTTAATTAAAAAAATCCTAATCCAAGATAGAATTAAAACCAAAGTGATAAGAGAAATTAAATTCTGAAAGAAAATCAAATGGCATGAGTCTTTTAGCATTAAAATTAAACCATTTTATCTGGAATTTGACTTCCTGCAGGATGCTGCAGTTGCTAGAAGTTAGTGAAAAATGCATTTCAATGCACTTAAAGAAGAATCTGTTGAGGGGCAGTCAAACAGAGATACCGGCTCTGTCTGACAAAGTTTCAGAGTGGAAAGCTGTGAGAGGCTGCTAAAATGTTGTGGAAGCATACCAAAGCATTTCCTGTAAGTAAAGAGTTAATTTTCCCCCCAGGTTTGTGGTGTCACTGTTGCCAGAGACAGGACACAAAACTCTGGTGTCCCTGGGTGTCCTGGTTGTGCTGTTCTCACGGGACCAGGAGTGCTGGTCTGCCATAACTTTCTGATACTTGACATTTCATTAAATTAAAGCAATTAGCAGCAAAAAGCAATCAAAACACTGCAGTTGTTCTGTGCTGAGAAGACTGGAGCACTCCCTTCTCAATTAGCTTTCCACAGCAGTATGGCAAAGCACTTTCCAAAGTTAAAGTGTTACACCAGGAAGCATCTTATATCCAATGCTCTCAATCAATCAGCTTTGGTTCATAAACCCAGCAATTAGCAATACAAAAACTCTTGGAGTGAGACAAAAATTAACAACATTTTTGTTTATATAGGACTGGATTTCCTTTGATCAATGTTTGTAAATGACTGGAAATGACATAAAAAGGTGAACAAGCTGTAAAACTTCACAAATAAATTTTACACGCTAAGGCCAAAATTAAAACTAATTATATGTGTTTTAACACAAGAATACCCATATTTTAAAATGAGCTTTCATATCCTCTCAAATACAAGGGCTGTTTTTGCCAAGGCTGTAGATGCCTTTCGTCTGCACAGCAATTCTGAAAGATGAAACTACAGACTATGGAGAGATGGCAATGCACATGCGCAAAATTGTGCAGATTTTGCAGTAGTCATTTCAACTACATTTCCTGTGTATTAGGAATGTTCTTAAAAATGTTCTTAACACGTTTTAAAAAATGGAAACAAGACAAACTAAACTTCTTAGGGTCTCAGAACTAGGATGAACTAAGCATTCTAAATGGAGAAGCAGTTTGGACTGTTTTTATTTAATTCTTATTACTTTTAGTCTTGTAGGCTCTGTGGAAGATGTGAATGTTTAGGCATCTCTAGTATTCTTCTTTGGTAATTATTGACGAGTCTTTACAATTCTCCAGGTGGAAATAAAATAGTAGACAACAGCCAGTGCCATTGTCACATCGCCTGATAGGTACTTTCCATCTCCAGAATTCAAGAGCATTACAGATAGATAACAGTCCAATTTTCCATAGGCAAAGATTTAAGGAAAAGTACATGAACCAATGAATATAAAACCTCCATGCAACTGTGGAGTTGTGCCTCATAGTTCCATTGCCTCAGTAAATGCCATCTTCAAGAGAAATTCATATTCAGTTGCCCAACTATTTTTTTCCAGCAGATGATGATGATGAAAGAATTAAAATGTATCAAGTTGCAGTCAAAACATTACTCAGATGCTCACCTTAAAGGGCTCTCACTGCACAATAGAAGAACAAAAGCAAGAAGCAAAATGAAGTGGTTTTTCACTTCAGCCCTGGCTGCCAGATTGATACTGGGATTGTTCTACCCACTTCTTCAGGTGAAATGTATTTTTAAAAGCCTTTGAAAGAGGAACATGTGTACATGCTTCCTTTAACCTGGAGACCAGTGGCATTCCTCAGGGCTGGTATTGGGAGTGGCACTGTTTAACATATTTGATGGTGACATGGACAGTGGGACTGAGTGAACCCTCAGCAAGTTTGCCAATGATAGTTGTGAAGACAATGCTTTTTCAGGCTTAAAATAAAAATGTGGTACTCTAAAGAGGGGGAGGAAATCATTAATGTAGCCAAATCTTACATATCAAGAAGAAAATAAATAAGCAGTTGATATTTTACACTTTTGTGGGTGAATCTCCATGTCTAAAGCACCCACAAATAAAATTTTCATATCCATTTTTAACTTCACTTTTTTAGGTGCTGAAACTTACTGAAGCAAAAATAAAGCAATGAACTAAAGTAGAAGGAAGCAGACTGAAGTTGTTAACAGCTAACAGCATGGGTGTTGCCTAAGGCCAGAAATAGCTGATGGATGATAAACCAGTCAGCAGACAAATCCTCATTACAATTGTAAATTTTGTGTCCCTAACAATTTACTCTCTTCACTATCATCCCTACACTCACTTTTTGCAGCAGCTGCACTATCACTTTCCAGTGCTGGCAGGGCTCTCTTATTCTTATCCCTGGCACAGAGCATAAGCTCTGAGACTGCCACTGTCAGAGTAAAATGATGGGTTTGGAGGAGCATCGTGGCACAGGGACCAGAGGCAGTGTCCAGGTGTGTACTGGCAGCCTACAGCATGCAGACAAGTAAAGCTGCCCAGTGCAGGATTTTCTGGGGAAAGTAAACAGGGGCAGGGAGCACCTGCCCATGAGCAGATGCAGCACACGCTCCATATCGCATGGAAGGGTGAGGATGCACAGCCACAGAGCATCTGGCTGAACTCTGCTCTCTTGTCCTCAGTTCACAGAAAAAAAGTCTCCAAAAGAATACAATGATAGTACTTCAGCAGAAAACTGATGGAAATATTAGGTGCTCAGAAAAAGTCACAAATAAGTTTGACCCAAAAAACCATCCTCTTGGTTCTCAATGCATATAAATATGTGGTCACGTGCTCTTCTACACCCAGCACGTTTTTACATTTAGTCACGTAATTATAGACTATATCATAAAGCACACACAAAGGAATAGAAGCAAGGATGCCTGAGCAACCTTTACTTCTCCTTCCCTAAGAATCTGGTGGATTTATTTACATCTTAAAAGATGGTTTTTATATGTAGAATTGGTGTTGCTCACATTACAAATAGGTGAAACAGAATGCAACACGCAGAACCAACTTCCAGCCTGCTTCAAACTCACTGGAGCCACTAGACTAACACAAGTTGCAAACGTGGTCTGCATATAAACAAATAATGTTTTTTTCTTGACTCATGTATATTCCGGCCAGGCACTGAGACAGAAGCAGCTCTACAGGAGAAACTTAACTCCCCTTCCTTTAAAAGTAAAGTGATGAGGGTAACTATATAGCTGCTTGATTAATGAAAATAGTCTTCAGTGTGAAACCTATAACTAACATGTTCAATAGATCTCTCTTTATTGATAAATTACCATATATCCCCAAGCATGCTATAATTAGGTAATAGGGCAGAGTTGTAAATCTAATTCAATTTTTATTGATGGACCTCAGCTTTGTATCCCATCCTGTGGGACCAAACCAATGGGTTGCTTTTATTCCTTTCTAATTTTAGAGAAATACATCCACTGCACTCAGAAATTTTCTGTCTACAAGCTATTGCTGAGTGCATTAAACAGGGAACTCATTACTCTTCTACCATTCTTTTGTTACTTCTTCACCTCTTTCTGTTTGTTCCTGTCTTCTAAGCTTACATGAAACAGGAAAAATAGGAAGGTACTTTCTCACTGCTTAGATGTTGCTGTCTGAACTTCTATTTCTCATTTTATTTGAGCTTGGATTCAGCTCACCTATTAATTCACTGATGTGTTGAATCTGTCTGACACACTGAGAGCTCCCTCTGAAAGTATGGACCTTCTCAGCTTATTAAGGTCCTAAACAAAAAGGTATCAGCCTCACTGCTCCAGTTGGGAGAATTGGGTCTCCTTTTTTGTTTTGGGTTATTAGCCTTTGATTTATAAGATGTGCTACCATTTGCTCATGTGTTCAGCAAGGTAACTCAAAAAGAATTAAAATTCACTGGTGAGATCCAATTATCTCATCTGCATGTTATTTTGCTCAGCTCAGGAGGAGCAAAAATAAAATAAAATAAAATAAAATAAAATTTGCAGATTTGAATAGAAAAGTTACTGAACCAGATACCCGTCAATTTACTTCATATGGAAGAAGTAGTAACCTGAATAATTTTAAAGGTGAAATTCAAAGCTGAAGCAAACTTTTGTCTAATCCTTGTTTTACATCCATAAACCTAAGTGTATTTCTCATTCTGGTCCCCTCTCCCAATGGTTCAACTAACAAACAATTTCTTCATTACTATCCATGGCTCTTTTGCCTTTTTCTGTGCTTCTCTCTGCCCACAGCCTAATCACCTCCCCAGGTTGTTCTGTGGTTAATTAGGGTCAGACACTTTGGCAGTGTAAAGTGATTTATTCAGTGGACTTGAAAGAAGCCAAGGCAATGTCACACACACTTACCAGCTGAGAACCAAGAACTCCAACTCCCTCTTGTTCTCAAGCTCTGGGCTCCCACAGAACACCAGGATTCTTGTGCCTTTCCCGAGAAACATCAAAAAAGTAGTTTGACTGAATTAGCCTCTCAAATGTTACAATATATTGATATTTCCTTATAAAGGCAGATTCTAAAATTTAATTTCTGAATTTCCAAATTCCCTCTGAGAACTGGAAGGAAATAATTTTCATCTCTTGCATGAGGGCAAAGAGGTTATTTTAGCAAAGTTTGCAATATCGAGTATTTAACTATTCTGTCATATAACAGTGAGCAAGCTGGGGACTACTCAAGAAAGCTGGATTTCTTCAGAAATCTATAGATATTCTGATAATATTCAACTTCAAATATTGATTTATTTATTGCTCTGAGATGCCTGTTGCTTTTCCATTATTCCTTGTTACTAATCTTTGGGAGTCTTCTACATTTTTTCACAATCAGTTAAGTTTAAGGGTTCATTCACAGATAAGTCAGACTTTTCAAAAGCTGGGGCTATTGGCCATAAATTGTCTTTGTCAGAGCCACCAAACGTGTGTTCTCTTCTATTGCTATGTCTAACTGCTTGTGCACAGAAATGTACACTCCTCAAGTTCTGATGTCAGAAGGCATCAAAGAAAAGGATTATAGGAATTAATAAGAAGCTGCTGACAAGATGGCCATTGGCAGAAAAAAAAAATCACCCTTTCACATATAAAACATAGAGAGCTGGGATTTCACTTGCCAGATAGAAAGGCATATTAAAGATAAGAAATAATTTTTATATGCCATTTTATGATCCAGATTCTATTATTTCAAGACTTCCATACTGATAAACAATAGCAATACGAGAAGACTGGGCATTTTGAATATTACTGCAGGGCTTCTGTGATGACTTTCTTAGTTTTCAGGAATATATGGAATATATATACTTTATGCTTTCATTGTGAGGTAAATCTCAGCCTTTGCCTAATTTATGGAAAGATAAAAACATCACTGGTTAGAACTAGCAAGATTTTTCAGAGGGCAACACTATAAATCCACAAAACTGCATACTTTTCAACTGACAATACTAGATCATTTGAAAAAAAAATGTCTGTTTCCATCTGGTCAGCATCTGTTAAACTCCATGGTTTACAGGACACATGAGATTTTTTTTTGATCTAGCTTCTGCTAAGTTTGGCCCAATTTAATTTCAAAACAAGTAGATGCACAAAATTAGAGAGATGAGAGTGAAAGAGGACAATCTTCTTTATACTTAACCTCGGAGATACCTGAACACCTCTGGTATGAAACACAGATTAATTACTTGGCTCTTCTGCATGCTGATCCCAACCCTCTTTATTTCAGTTCTTGAGAATCCTGTCCTTTGATGAAAACCACTATGGAATAGAAGACATTTGTAGCCTTTACTTATTTTAAGCTTTACTTGTTATTAGCTTATTTCATTGGCCAATGACTGTGAAAAACATTTTAAAATTCCTTCAGTCAAGGACAGCTTTCTCAACTTGTGAGACAAACAAGAACTGACATGGGAAAGCTGGAGTGCCCAGGATCCCATGCTAGGTGAGGAGCAGTCCGTATGTCTCAGCTCCATCCTCTGTCCCTTCACCCAGGATCTCTGTTCAAGGTGGGTACAGCCAAGTGGTCACTTTAGAAGCCACTGTTACTGATCTTATAGCTGTCCCAACAACCACAAATTAATCACAGCAGTAAGCAATGCTAGTTTTACTTGTTAGCATCATCTGATTTCCCTCATTGCTAAACATCCAACTTTTGTCACTTCAGTTATTGAAAATTTACTCTTTAATAAAATACAGGTGACACAAACGCATGTGAAATACATCTGCTGTATTAGCAAAGATATCAGTGGGTTCTCATCATGAAAAAGTATTAAATCCTTTTTTTAATACTTTGAAATGCATTTTCATACAAAATGCCTCATTGTCCTGTTTATTGGGTGACTTTCACCCAATTTCATACCATCGTTACTCTGCTTTCCCTGGGGAATTACTACTGATTTGAAGCAGCATTAGATAAAGATGAGGCCGTACCATAATTCAGAACGACTTGAAGTTTCCTTTATTTTGTGAAAGGATGATTTAACATTAGATGAAGCATTTCTTGAAATCTTTTAATAAAATTGAAGTTCTACTGAAATATCATGTTTAGAGGTAATCGCATGCCTTAGAAGTCACAGATTATGTGTATCATGTAAGATATTAAACCTGTCAAGATGTTGTTTTTAATACGTCTTTTAGTTAAGACCATGTCTTGACATGAATTATTCCTAGCATAGTTTCTCACACACTGGTTCAGCAAGCAATCACCCACTACATCCATCATTTCTGTGGCTGTCTCACCATATGTCTCAGAGGGGTGTAGGGGGGAAGTTTCTAGTTAATAATTTTTTTTTTGCATTTGGTATGCAAATCACTTAAAATTGAATGATGTGGCAATTTCAAGTAGTATTGTCTTAAGAAACACTGGAGTTTCAGGACTAAGCTAAATTTGATAGGCTTAGTGGATGGTTTGTTTTCTTTTTTTTGCTTGCATCTTAACAAAATTTTACAGCTAGAAAAAATTCTCATTATAATCTCCAGCCTATTTCCTCCTCAGAGATATGCTTGCAAAAATTGACTTTATATTATCTTAGCGAAAGGCTTTCTGTTCATAATATTTCAAACCTTCATCTGTCCTTGGCTGCTGTGACATTCATCCATCTGACAAAATGGGGGGGAAAAAATGCCAGCCTCTGAGTGAGTGCTCCTTTAAGTGAATTTGTTAGCCAGGCATGAAGGATGCTGTGCTCACTGAGGCCACTCTGGGAGCCACAGCCGCGAGAGTCCGTGACTCCTGCACGGGGCAGGGCAGGGAGGCTCGGCTGCACTCCATCCACTGGGCTTCTCTTGCTCCAAACAGCAATCTGCTTCCATCAGCTGGGAGTTAAAACTCACAACCTGTGTAGGTTGCTCTTGGCTCTCTGAAGATGCACATGATGAGATAAACAATGGTTTGTAAGTTTCAGATTCATTTCCTAACCTTGCAAAAAGCTCTGCGTACTGCTGCTCGGTACTGGGAGTTGTCCGGCCATAAATGCGTGTGAGTAAAGCACAGAAGGCTCAAATCTAGGGAATGAAGCAGAGCTTGAATAAAATCTTTGCACAAAATCAGAAAGGCACCAAGACCTGAATTTCTCAGCTGTATAAGCAGTCAAGCCTCAGCTGGACCCAGAACAAGACAGAGATGGGGAAAAAGGACATTATTAATTTCTATCTGAGATTTTCTAGAAGGGTTGTGCTGTGACTTGTGACTTGTGCATAGACTACCAGGGAGTCTCTCAGGCTGCCTGCACTTTCTTTCTCTGTAGGTAATAGCAGGGATGCACAGAAATTTTTGCCACCAACAACTGGTTTTTATTTCATACTTTGCAGTTAAGACACATTTTAAAAGCAGCTCTGTGTTTCATAGGATCAAAGATCAACTTGAAGCTTAGCTTATGAGACACATACAGCAGCGTATTGAGCATGTTTTCATTTTCCCATTCAGCAGGAAGAGTTTCACACTTCTGACAAGGGTTCCTCCTATGCAAAGCACTTATGTACAATCCAATTAAATAAACAGTGAAAAGAAAGATCATAGGATCAGAAATTTTTTATACACTTTCCAGTGTTTTTTTCTCATAAAGTCATGAGAAAGAGCCTGGTGGAGGGGTGGTATGTAGATTTCCTTCTGCCAGGTGGCTGTACAAATATATCTCTCTTGGTGCCTGATTGATCTTTTTACTTGTGAAGGTTTTTCTGCATAGTGGAACAGCTTCAGTCAGAGAAACAACAGATCACACCCCACACACTCTGCTCCAGCTCCTGCTCATGTCCCAGCATCACAGCTGTTGGGCCTCTCCTATGGAGGATAGGTGAGAAATTTGGGATTGAACCTTTCTGGGCAGAAAGCTGAGGTAGAGTCTCGAAGAGTCTCCACAAATGATCCAACTTTTAATTATTTAATTAATTTTTTTAAATGAACCAAACAAACAAAAATATAATATCAGGCAACCATGGAGTTTAGATTCCTCCATATGTGAGAGCCAAGGAAACTATTTCAAAATTACTGTTCCGAGTATATGCACTTTAATTTTGCTGGTTTTTGGCAACTACATCTTTTTTTTTTTTACAGGAGATCCTTACACTGTGTCCTGGAAAGCAGTCCCATTCATTCCTGAACAGAAGAGCTACAAATGCTACATTCCCCACTATTCACAGAGAAGTGGCTGTTTCTCAAGCTGCCAGGATACTGTCAGTGACCAAATTTCTCAGCTGAGAATATTTCTGTTATTCAGAAACGGGAAGTCTTGTGATTGAGTGCCTTTGAGAGCCATTTTGTCCAGCACAAAGTAGCTCTTTGGAGCTAAGCTGTGCCACTGCATCCAGCAATTATTAAGGTATTTCCCTAGTGCACTGATATTTTGAAGCTAGGCCTGAATGCTCCTGAGTCACACTATGGAGCTCCAAACCTCTGCATCTTCATTGAAACATTACCTTCCCTTTCACACAAAAAATATTTGGTTCTTGAACAGCCACTCTTCACAGGCACCTGCCTGGGCCCTCCGTCCCACTGAGGTCACTGAGCCACTTACAGTCCTGTTAGGGAATCGTCACCAAAAACTGTTGACCCAAACCCCTGTGGGCCATGCTGGTGTTTAGGTCTCAAAGTCTTTGCCTTTCAGATGTAAGACAGGAAGCTACAGAGCAGCCTGAGGCAGTGATGCTTTCTCCCATGGCTCTTGTACCGCAGAGCCAGAGGTTGTACCATAGAGCCACAAAATCACAGATTTGTTTAGGCTGGAAAAGGCCTTTAACATCATCAGGTCCAACCACTCACCTATCACTGCCATGTTCACCACAGTATCATAGAATCAGAATTGTTGGGGTGGGAAAAGACCTCTGAGATCAGCAAGTCCAACGAGTAACCCACCACTGCCAAGTCCATCCCTTACCCACGTCCCCAAACACCACAGACATACATTTTTGGAACACTTTTAGGGATGGTGATTCCATCACTGCCCCTGGCAGCCCGTTTCAGTGCTTGACCACCCTTTAAGTGAAGAAATGTCAGAACCTGACACAACTCCAGGCCATTTCCTCTTGTCCTATTGCTTGTTACATGGGAGAAAATACCAAACCCCACCTGTCTGTAATATTCTTCCAGGTATTGGTGGACAGCAATAAGGTCCCTCCCAAGTCTCTGTTTCTAAACAATGCCCATCTTTGTCTTAGATCATTTTTCATGGAAAATTTCTTTCTTCCATAAAAAAATATGGTTATTTTTATTTTACTGTTAGAATAGAGCCTGCAGATGTGACCCAAACCTTGATTCACCTCTTTCAAAAGTAACAAAGAACCAGATGTGCATGGAAAGGTAGAATAGTCTTTGGCCAGGAATCTAGCTGAGGAAGACCTACAGAGGGCTCCATTTCACACTGCTCCCAAGGGGAAAGGACATTTCTTATTTAGCCGAAAAATAATGACCACTCTCTGAGAACCATATATTTTATTTTCTCTGGGTAACTCACAGACATTTTACAATGGCAATAAAGATTTAATTTAAAGCATCAATGATGCAATCTTTCAAGGGGTAATGGTTGGTTTAGTCTCTGGCAGCTCTTTGGTCCAAATATCTTGGTCTTCACTTTTCATGGGCCATTAATGAAGAGATGAACTGCAGAAGGGAAACTTGATCCATTAAATCCATGCCATTAGTTCTTTTGTCCTCTTTGCCAATTGTATCCAGATCCAGGTAGTGACTGGAATTTTCCACAAACATTGATTGCTTGTTTCATTTTTCTCTACCCTTTGCATAGTTTTTATTTTGGTCTAAGCATAACTTTTGCCTACAACATCTCTCTCATAAAAAGAAAACTTGCTATGAATACTGATATTTTATTGATTTTTTTATTCCTCAAAAAAAGCTATGTCTTTGCATAACTCTTGATCTGGAATGTATTGTTTTGCTGCTTAAAGAAACATTAATCATAAATTCAAGAAAGACAGGGAAACAGAAAAAACAAAGATAAAACTGAAACAATAAATGAATAAAACATTGGGAAGATGTAAATAAATTCACCAAATATGCCTGTTAAATCCTAAGAATATGAATGATGTTATAGAAATAATGGCTTACATGCTAAAGCAAAATGTTTCTGATCATGACGTTTGTCATCTGTTTTGATAGCCCAAGATATTCTACTGTCTGACACATCTGAAACAATAAAGTAATTTTCCTTTCAAAGTAAAAAGAGGTATCAGATACCTAAATAGAATAAAAAATAATTTTTTTCTACCACAAAACTCAACCAAAAATTTTGAGTAATTTTTCTTAAATAAAGATAATGAAACCAGATTTGCTTTCATTCTAAAAAATGCTATGAACATATTTAGCATAAATAGATGTAATTTTCCAATATCTTTGCTTGAAAAGTTTCTTTCTATGAAATATGAATGCAGAAAATTCTTAACCATTTAAGTATCTGAGATCCTAAAAGGCATCAACTTTTGATGGGTACCAATTATTCTGTGATAGATATTGTGCCATGTATAACATTGTGTGTTTCTTATGCTTAGCTATCACCTTACAATTTTAAAGTTAATTAAAAATATTAAAGAAAGATAAACATTGTCTTCCAAATACAATGGGAAACACTAAAAGAGACAGACATGATGGAACCAAAGATTCACAAACAGAGAGGGAAGAACAACACTCATTTTCTCTCCTGGTGCCTCCTCTGTATTTACACATGGTGAGAGTTTTGGCATCAAGTCCCTGAGTCTGTGGGTTTGTCACTTAAATCTTAGGGATCTAGCACTGCTGCCCAGCATGAAGGAGTTCAGAAAATGTCCACCAGAAAAAATATGCTTCCAAAGTTAAGGAAAAGAAAGAGAAGGGAATTACAAAAGCAGTGAAAGTGCTGCACAAAGGATTTACCTACTCATTACCTGTGCCAGTTGTAGAGAATTTGGATGGATTTTAACTACAGACAGTCAACTCTTCTGACTGTGCACACAGTAAGGACTGCACAAACAGGCACAGTCTCCATTCAGATAATACATTTATTTTCTTACACGACATGGCAGCACCAGAGGCACAGAAAGTCTCAGTTTGCTGCACAGCCTGCCTGCTTCCATGCCTCATCCAGCACTCCTCCTCTGCAGGAAACTGAGCCCACAGCCTTCTTTACAATATGGATGAGCTTCTTCTTCTTGGGGGCTGTTAACATATCCTCAGTTAAGTCAGGATGCCAACCAAAAAACAACTCATATTTTTTGAAACTAAAAGGAAAAAAAAATCCAGCTTAAATAAACCTTAAATTATGCATTTATCCTGTCTATTAAGTGCTAAAATTCATGTAAAGAGCTTCTAGTGTTCCTTGCTTTCTGTCTTTTCTTTCTTCTGTACAAAGACATGAGTAACTCACATCTTTTGTAAGGTGGCACTGACCTGTAAAAAACACAAAAAGAATGTGTTAAACAGAAAGGAGAGAAAGGCTAAATAAATGAAATAAATGTATAATTATTTTGTTTGTCTCTCAGAATATGCACATACACAAATAAACACCCACGCAGCTTTCCATGCTGTTTTACTAAAACAAATCTTCAGACCCCCAGCAACAAAGAGCCAGTCACTTATTAGTAAGAATCCAAATAGATATTACAGTCTGACTACTTGTGCTTTTGAGATGTAAATATCAAAATTGCTTTTTGAAGAAGTAAAATGCAAAAGCAGTTAAAGTTCAGAATTCAGTTTTTTCCTCTTCTTTTGATAAATGCATTTACATTTTAATTTTCAGTGTTTTCAATTTTCATCAGTGAAAAGCTGTATCCCTGGATGAAAAGCACAATAATAAAATGTTCTCCACTCCATAATTTTCTTGTAATTCACAGAAATGATCTGAGGGCATATAGCTCACGACAATATATATTATAGCATTCAGTGCAGAGAACTCAATTGTTAGGGCTGCAATTTCAAACATATGTATATTAATGAACTGGCTGTGGCTTCATTTTAAATTCCTAAAGACTTTTTTGCTGACATAGAATCATTACGACTGTAATCTTAGAAACCTGAAAAGATTGTCAGAACTGTGCATGTTATTTCATTTATTCAATCAATACAAGTGTCAATGCCAATTATGCTGCAAAAATCCATACAATAGTCCTATTTTTTAAGTCAATATGGCACCATAGATCATAAGAGGAACAGAACAATGTGACATGCCACATCTTACATAATTTGGCAGAGCAGTGTGCCTTTATTTATAAGAACATGCTACAAATCTTGTTCTACTTTTATTGCAATCAGTTCCCTTTCTACCCTCAAAATGATAAAGCAGATTTTGCTAATCTAAAACAAAACAAATCAAAAGTCCAAAAAAACCACTGGAAACATTATTGGTCTTCATATATAGCTTGGGACAGTTTTTAGTCATGCATCTTAACCAGTCTGGCTACTAGAAACTGCAGGAAAAAAAACTGTTGTAACTTGCTGAACAGACAACAGCATCTACAGTGAACAACTGCTCACTGCAGTACCCATTATAAAATGCAATATTGGCATGCAGAGCTATAAAAAACATTCAGACTATTCTCAAAAAAACCTTGGTACATCAATAATAACATCAGTCGAGAAATCAGAGGATAACAAAATACATAGGAGGTCAGCAAAAGCCTGGAAGATAAAGCTCAGCAGCGAGGGTGAAAAGCAGCACAGAATGGAAAGTGCATTCAGCACAGTGCCAGAGAATAGAGGCAGGCTGGAAGCAATAACTGGGGAGCCTGCCATTCCACCTCTGCATGGAGCCCCTGCCATTCCATCCCTGCATGGAGCCCCTGCCATTCCACCTCTGCATGGAGCCCCTGCCATTCCATCCCTGCATGGAGCCCCTGCCATTCCACCTCTGCATGCAGAGCCTGCCATTCCATCTCTGCATGGAGCCCCTGCCATTCCATCCCTGCATGGAGAGCACGCTGCCACAGGGAAGTGTCCCTCTGCCCAGGCAAGGGGAGCCCAGGGAGCCATCTGAAGGCTTGTTCTGTGGGAAAACTGCACTCTTCTTTACTGCAGATGTGAAACAGGTTCTCTTCTGCTTGCAGCAGACACCTTGCCCTGCTCACATTCAACTCTTTTACCTTTCTAAAGCTTTACTTCTCTCTGCCTAGGTTTGTGGAAGCTCCCGCCAGGTCTCCTTGCACCTATTATATTTATGTTTTCTGATCAGGTTTAATTTCTCAGGTTTGGTCAGCATTCTCTCCATATGGCTGTCAGGTTTGTAGTCCTCCTTCAGTGCAGAAGAAAATGGACCTATAGCCCTCTCTCCTTTAGCTCTGGTGCTGCTGAAGGCACTTCCCATAGGCATCCTCCACAGCTCCACATCCTCCCATCTGGGGAGCAGAGTTTCTTTTAGAGGAGGAGGTGAACAAGCCTAGCCTTGGCAAGCCAGCGACTGGGAGCCAGCAGCTTTCTGGAAACATTTCTAAAGACAAGCATCAGGAAGATCTATTCAAGCTAAAGTTAGAATTGGCAAAAATTTCATAGTTGTAAGGGAGGCACAAACCGCATCATACTGGAAACAAACACACACAATAAAAAGCTGATCTAGGAGTCTAACTTCTTTTAAGAGAAGTGTCAATAAACATGAGAATAATATTATGCAACATAATGCTTGCTTGCTCAAACCTGGAGTATCTTCTCATAAACTGATACCATTTCAATCATGAAAAATATGTAAACAGTAAAGTACTTTAAAAACAGGAGGGGGCATATTTATTTCCACCATAATTATTCCTCACTATATTGACATAATTATATGCATTATTCTAAATATATGTGAATTTATTGGCACAGTGATGTTGTCAATAA